CTAATGCCTTGTGGTAGTCTAAGGAACTAAAAAATGCCTTGTGGTATCTGGGACATTAAACATAAGCCTTGTAGTAGTCTGGGACACTAACATAATGCCTTGTAATATCTATGGACAAAAAATAATGCCGGTAGGATCTGGGGCCTACTAATGCCGTGGGGTAGCCGAGGACCTAACATAACCCCTTTGTAGTAGTCTGGACACTAACAAAACCCCTTTGGGTATCAAAGGGACTTTAACCTTCCCTTGCAGGTATCTGGCACTAACGTAACGCCTTTAGTTGAGGACTAAAAAATGCCGTGTAGGAATTCTGAGGATACTACCATTAATGCCTTGTAGGTAGTCCTGACGTACACATTAACTCCATTCGTCTCTGCTAATGGACTCCTCTTTCCAGCTTGTTGACTTTGTAGGTGTTTGTAAGACCTGCTAGTAATTTATCTCTCCGACGTCTTCTTGACCTGCCTCGTGATATTTTTTTTGAAGTACATTTCCGTGGGGCAGAAATTAGAGTTGCTACTGTATGGGACAAACATTAGAGTACACGATTGAAATGGGACAGAAATTGCTGTTACAAAATTTGCACATAATTAGAGTGGCAACTGTATGTGACAAACATTAGAGTAACAAGTAAAAAGTCGGGAGATTGATACACCACGTCATTTGCACACGGTTATAAACCATAGGGCTCTGCCGCCATTACGGACAGCTGAATAAGAAAACTGTCCGCCTGTGTCGCCGTCCGCATGCAACTCCGTAGCTACAGCGACGTTACTACTCCATTTACCCCAGAGCGCTAACTCTGGTACCCATTACCTAGAGGCTGGATGAACCCCGGGAACCGATCGGCTTCGAACACCGGCCGTGGGCTGCAGCGAGTCGCATCTGGATTCGAAAAGCAAGTCTCCTATCGACTGCGCTAACTCGGCTCCCCAATGAGTAACAAGTGAATGCGACAAACGTTAAAGTACCAATTTGTTGGAAAGAAGTTAGAGTTGCAACTGATCTATTAGGGAAAAAATTAGAGTAACAAGTAAATGGGACGGAAGTGAAAGTTTGGGGGGAAAAGGGGTGGTGGGGGGGGGGGGGGATGGGGGGGGCAAAATCAAAGTAGCAAGTGAATCGGACAAAATCAGAGTAGCAAGTGAATTGGACAAAATCAGAGTAGCAAGTGAATCGGACAAAATCAGAGTAGCAAGTGAATCGGACAAAATCAGAGTAGCAAATGAATCAAACACAGTAAAAGTTAAAGTTTTCTCGCACATAAAATAGAGTAGCAGCCGTTCTTGACAACAAATAATGTAAAATAAGCCGTCTATTAAAATGTAGATGTAGACAGAAGTTCCAGTATAATATACATTTAAACAGTAAATTTGTTACCTGTTTAATCTGTTCCTTATCAGATATACCAGCTACATGTTCGCTTCGTGACCATCATGTCTGAACCTTTGGTATAAATTCAGACCGACAGTTAATCAATGCTACAGTGCAGCTGCTTCTACTGCATTTCGACTTAACTAACGACAAGATCATATACTACACTGACACAAATATGAAGTCTGTCTTCATTTTCTTTGCGGTTCTAGCCGCCTCGACTTTCGCCGAATGTGAGTAGAATTGTTTTAGTAGTGACAGCAGGAGCGCCCAACTTTACACGGAGACACATTTTTAAAGATCACTGCCTTATTGCTTCACTAATTCATTTATTTTGTCATTCATTTTCTTTCTTTCTATTCTTCTTTTCTTTCTTTCTTTTTCTTTCTTTCCTTTTTTTTTCTTCTTTCTTTCGTTTTCTTTCTTTCTTTCTTTCTTTCTTTCTTCTTTCTTTCTTTCTTTCTTTCTTTTCTTTCTTTCTTTCTTTCTTTCTTTCTTTTCTTTTCTTTCTTTCTTTCTTCTTTCTTTCTTTCTTTTCTTTTCTTTCTTTCTTTCTTTCTTTCTTTCTAACTTTTTTTCTTTCTTTTTTTTTTTCTTTTTTTTCTTTCTTTCTTTATCTTTCTCTTTTCTTTCTTTCTTTTCTTTCTTTCTTTCTTTCTTTCTTTCTTCTTTCTTCTTTCTTTCTTTCTTTCTTTCTTTCTTTCCCCCCTTTCTTTCTTTTCTTTCTTTCTTCTTTCTTTCTTTCTTTCTCTTTCTTTCTTTCTTTTCTTTCTTTCTTTCTTTCTTTCTTTCTTTTCTTTCTTTCCTTTCTTTCTTTCTTTCTTTCTTTCTTTCTTTTTCTTTCTTTCTTTCTTTTTTTCTTTCTTTCTTCTTTTCTTTCTTTCTTTCTTTCTTTTCTTTCTTTTTCTGTCCATTTCTCTGTCACTCTTCCTTAATTCTTCGTAACGCCAGGGTGCCGGGTTCGATCTCAGTTGTGGACGACTTGTCTTTCGTTGGTTTCGACAGTAGTACCGAGGACTGACCATTCAGGGAGCAGTGGCAAACTACTGAAAGTAGCATTTGCTAAAAAAAAAAAAAAAAAACAGGCAAAAAACGCTGTGGTTGGTTCTGCGACGTCCTGTTCAACTTCCTCAATTCTTTTTGTCCAACGACCTGACGACTGGTCTGTTAGTTTGGCTGTCTTCTGACTGATGAAAGAGATCCATAGCAGCCTGCCTTCGTTGTAGAGATAACACCTGATTGATTGATTTTTTAAGCTGACAACACTTAAATTAGGCAGTGCTAATTTGCAAATTATTTCCGACAGATATAGATAAAACTGTTGATTTCATGTGCCTGTATAGTCTAACCATGTCTCTGTATAGTCTAACCATGTCTCTGTATAGTCTAACCATGTCTCTGTATAGTCTAACCATGTCTCTGTATAGTCTAACCATGTCTCTGTATAGTCTAACAATGTCTCTGTATAGTCTAACCATGTCTCTGTATAGTCTAACCATGTCTCTGTATAGTCTAACTATGTCTCTGTATAGTCTAACCATGTCTCTGTATAGTCTAACCATGTCTCTGTATAGTCTAACCATGTCTCTGTATAGTCTAACCATGTCTCTGTATAGTCTAACCATGTCTCTGTATAGTCTAACTATGTCTCAGCAGACAGCCTCGTTGAGAGAGAAGTCCATGTCATCATCCACGACAACCCGTCCATTACAGAAACAGATTGTATTCAAAAATGTGACAACGTCTTTGGTCTCTTAGACCCCATTGATGAAGCCAACAACGACATAGAGTGTGCCGAAGAATGCCATTGGTAGGTCTTCATTGCCAATTAATATATCATGGCATTGTGAGAAAAGTCATGAGTTAGAATTTATACCAGGTTGATTTTTCTTTAAAACAACTGATCTTAGCACCCATACTCTTTTTCATGCCATTACCGAATCGCTGGCACTAGATTTTATGTTTTGTCACAAGCAAACGCCTATTTTCTGCCACGACAGCTCTTTCACTTTATCCCTGAGTTACTCTTACGCCCGCACTGTCCAGCTGTTTCGCAAATGCCTTCAGTCTGTCCGAGAGTCCGATTAAGTGCAGCAGGAGAAGATCAGGCCCGGCTTTATGACCCAGGTCGGCCCACCTTCCGAGATTGTATAGGAAGTAATGGGCCGAAACAATCGCCGAAAAAGGATCTTTCTAATGATGATCGGTGACCCCTTCTGCGTATGCTCCCCTGTGGAGTACGTGGCTAGTACACAGACAACCAGGATAGGCTGGTGACTATAGGGATAGACCTTTTGACACCCTGGAAAGACTGGCGCCCCTGGCAGCACCGGGGTGTAACCTGGCCCTCTGGCAACGGAGGACCGACTGAGGTCCTGGCCGACTACCCCTGACCCAAAATAATACCTCAGATTTGGGACATATTTCTTGTTGTTTATCTCTGATTTTGTCATGAATTTGTGACATATTTCTTTGTTTTTAATCTCTGATTTTGTCATGAATTTGTGACATAGTTCTTGTTTTTAATCTCTGATTTTGTCATAGGTTTTGACATATTTCTTGTTTTCTCTCTGAGTTAAGTTGAGTTGAGTCAAGAATTAACATTACAGCACTCAGGGCATTCCCCTGAATGCTTCGTCCTCATTTTCAGCAGCCTAGCGCAGAGTTCCAATACTGATGGTACTGGTCACAATCTGGTTAAAAGTCCGTCTTGCCTTTCCTCTGAGTGTAGTGAGCCGTTCAGACCCTCTTGTTACACCCAGGTTACCTCATTCTCTCTAGGCCAAAATAATCTTCTTTCTCTACTGGTTCCGTTGCTTGTTCCCAAAGGGCCTTGACCACATCTGCCTTGTCATGCATCAATTCACCACCCAGTGGTGCGGATCCTGCCGATCTGTCTGTAAGTTCATTACCCACATAGCCGGCATGGCCTGGAGAAAGGATTCAAAATATGCTCACTACCCGTGACCTTTCCAGTGAAGCTAGTTGTTTTCACTCTCCGACTTTGTCATAGACTTGTGACATATTTCAAGTTTTTTATTCTCTGACTTTATTATAGATTTGTGACGTATTTCATGTTTCTACTGACTGACTTTGTCATAGATTTGTGACATATACCATGTTTCCATTCTTTGTCATATATTTGTGACATATTTCATGATTCTGTTGTCATTTTGTAAAAGATATGCAACATATTTTATGTTTCTGTTGTCATAAAAAAAAAAAATTTAACATATTTCATGTTCCTGTTGTCACTTTGTGAAAGATATCTAACACATTTCATATTTCTGTTGTCACTTTGTGAAAAAATATGTAACATATTTCAGGTTTCTGTTGTCACTTTCTGATTGTTGTGCAGCACATTTAATGTTTCTGTTGTCACTTTGTGAAAGATGTATGACATATTTTGTGTTTTTGCTGGCACTTTAATTTTAGTGTGTCAAATTTTTCACGTTTCTGCTGGTACTTTGTGATTAGTAAGTCAAATATTTAACGTATCTGCTGGTACTTTGTGATTAGTATGTCAAATATTTAACGTTTCTGCTGGTACTTTGTGATACTATGTCAAATATTTCACGTTTCTGTTGTCACTTTGTGATTAGTGTGTCAAATATTTCCCGTTTCTGCTGTTACTTTGTGATTAGTATGTCAAATATTTAACGCTTCTGCTGGTACTTTGTGATTAGTATGTCAAATATTTAACGTTTCTGCTAGTACTTTGTGATTAGTATGTCAAATATTTAACGTTTCTGCTGGTACTTTGTGATTAGTATGTCAAATATTTAACGTTTCTGCTGGTACTTTGTGATTAGTATGTCAAATATTTAATGTTTCTGAGGGTACTTTGTGATAGTATGTCAAATATTTCACGTTTCTGCTGTCACTTTGTGATTATTTTGTCAAATATTTCACATTTCTGCTGGTACTTTGTGATTAGTGTGTCAAATATTTCACGTTACTGCTGTCACTTTGTGATTAGTATGTCAAATATTTCACGTTTCTGCTGTCACTTTGTGATTAGTGTGTCAAATATTTCACATTTCTGCTGCTACTTTGTGATTAGTGTGTCAAATATTTCACGTTACTGCTGTCACTTTGTGATTAGTATGTCATATATTTCGCGTTTCTGCTGGTACTTTGCCATTGATGTGTAACACATTCCATTCTTCTCCTCTCACCAGCCATATCACCAACCCGCTTTGTGATGCACAGGAATCAGTTAACAAATCCAGCACACTCAAGCAGTCACTATTCACATTTGTGTTGTCTGCCGTCTGCGCCATCAGCCTACTGTTCGTGTAGATAAATATTATATATATTTATTTTTTGATAAATGAATACATCTCATGATAAAAAAAAAAAAAAACTACGCAGTGTATTATTTTGTTTTTCAAATTCTTATATTTTTTAGTTTTTCCCCCATCTGCCGTGATCTATGTGAATGTTCGCTAACTATATCCTTGTGTTGTTGGAAACTATATCCTTGTGTTGTTGGAAACTATATCCTTGTGTTGTTGGAAACTATATCCTTGTGTTGTTGGAAACTATATCCTTGTGTTGTTGGAAACTATATCCTTGTGTTGTTGGAAACTATATCCTTGTGTTGTTGGAAACTATATCCTTGTGTTGTTGGAAACTATATCCTTGTGTTGTTGGAAACTATATCCTTGTGTTGTTGGAAACTATATCCTTGTGTTGTTGGAAACTATATCCTTGTGTTGTTGGAAACTATATCCTTGTGTTGTTGGAAACTATATCCTTGTGTTGTTGGAAACTATATCCTTGTGTTGTTGGAAACTATATCCTTGTGTTGTTGGAAACGAAAGAGAGTACATACTGGCTGGTTCTGATATACTGCAGATGGCTGGCTTATGCGTCATCCCCACATTGTTAATACCATTTGAAGAAAGACAGAGAGAAAGAAAGAAAGAAAGAAAGAAAGAAAGAAAGAAAGAAAGAAAGAAAGAAAGAAAGAAAGAAAGAAAGAAAGAAAGAAAGAAAGAAAGAAAGAAAGAAAGAAAGAAAGAAAGAAAGAAAGAAAGAAAGAAAGAAAGAAAGAAAGAAAGAAAGAAACAAGAAAGAAAGAAAGAAAGAAAGAAAGAAAGAAAGAAAGAAAGAAAGAAAGAAAGAAAGAAAGAAAGAAAGAAAGAAAGAAAGAAAGAAAGAAAGAAAGAAAGAAAGAAAGAAAAAGAGAAAGACAACGAACAAACTTTATTTTCAAAAGCGTTACACGTTGAGTGAGACAGACAGACAGACAGACAGACAAATAGACAGATAGACAGATAGATAGATAGATAGATAGATAGATAGATAGATAGATAGATAGATAGATAGATAGATAGATAGATAGATAGATAGATAGATAGATAGATAGATAGATAGATAGATAGATAGATAGATAGATAGATAGATAGATAGATAGATAGATAGATAGATAGATAGATAGATAGATAGATAGATAGATAGATAGATAGATATAGATAGATAGATAGATAGATAGATAGATAGATAGATAGATAGATAGATAGATAGATAGATAGATAGATAGATAGATAGATAGATAGATAGATAGATAGATAGATAGATAGATTAGACAAATTGATAAAGGAGGGCGGAAAGGGAGGGGTAGATTTTGGAATCTATGCGTCCACATCATAACTAAGAATGCGTGAATTTGAAAGGTAAAGATTTGCGTGTTCGGGCACTGGATGCAAATCTGACCTACACGAAGTATTGTTAGCTAGCTTCGAACCGGAACTATTATTCGCTGCACGTGAATGCATATTCTGAAAAAGGGGCGGTGGGGGGGGGGGGGGAAGCCTGGAATGAACACACGTGGACGTGTCCGGAGTGCCACATGGACAACCCAGCTCATAATTCAAACATTTATGTCATTGTGAGGTGATATTGTCGGTGACTTGTGCGTTTCCATCACTAGATTTGAAGTGAAGCATCAGGAGAGATGCTGTCTGTCCACAGGGGAAAAAATCTCGTGGAAGACCAAGGAAAACCCTACTTAGAACTATCATCAGGGAAGGCTCGCTCATGGGCCACTCAAACATCCAAGACCTACAACGGATTGCAACGGACCGCCGTGCATGGAGAGTCACGACCTCTGCCCTATGTGCCGCACTCGACACAAGAGGAAAGACTAACTAACTAACTAAATCAGGAGAGATAAGTGAACAAAAAAAAACATCGAAACTGAGGGATTCTTTAAGCGTCTATATTGACTTGCTTGTGGTGTCCCTTTTTCAGATAAAAGATACAAGTGGGATGTCCAGTTTTCAGCTGAAGATACAAGTGGGATGTCCCGTTTTCAGCTAAAGATACAAATCGGATGTCCCGTTTTCAGCTCAAAATACAAGTGGGATGTCCCATTTGCAACTGAAGATACAAGTGGGATGTTCCGGTTTCAGCTTAACATATTAAAGTCACCATAGCCTTAAGTCAGCTATAAACGACGCACCTAGATGATGATGATAATGAAAGGATGGTAAATTGGGGAGGCTCGTCGCTGATATTCATATATCTATTTGTATTGTGGAGGAGCATCCCCAAGGTTAAGCTGCCAACAGGTCATGTTCAAGAGAAAACCATTGGGTGGCAGCTTGTAAGGGTCAGCTTTTCAACAGGGTCATCTTAACACATTGTATCCTAGGCCTGCTGGGAACACTTCCCCGGGAGGCCCCCTAAGCATAGGGGGCCTCATGCAAATTTCTGTTTGTCACATACAGTGACAATTTACACTTCATTTTGCGGGGGCCTCCGACACATGGCTTGCCCAGTGGCCCATAATTATGTTAAGACGGCTCTGGTAACTAGGTAATCGCAGTTCCAAATTCATAGCAAACTACCACCCAATAGTTGCTAGATTCCTGTGCCGACGAAAAACTTACAGAATCTCCATCACTGTCCCTAGCGGAAACAGCGTCAACACAAACAGTCCGACACTAGAAATGCAGTTCATCGTCGATGAAAGTGGCAGTTACAACAAATTAATTTTTGCACACGCGATTAATGATATCAGGCACCAGGCACCAGGCCCCCTCCAGTTTCTAGAATCTACATTTCACAACACAAAACAGCTTGGGTAAAAATCATTCTAAATCTTATTCTTTATCTTCTTCTTCTTCTACTTCTTCCGGTCGTTTTAAATAAATTATCTATATCTGCAATGTATATTCTAGTATGAACATCACTGTCTGTTGTGATTAATTTAGGGGCCAGTAAAGTATGGCTTCCACCAGTGTCTCACAGTGTCGCGCCATGCAATCAACTTAGTAGCTGGGAAACGAAACTGTATCCTTCGACTCTACAAATGGAGGAAAATGCAACGGCCAACTAGCTTAAGAAGCAAAATACTGGCCACGACTAAAACAGTACACCTTCTATCCTCCATAATGACGGAAGTCGAAAAGGCTATGTTTCTAGAGTCTAGGCGCCGCAGAGAAGACTGTCGCTATGCTTTGTAGTGGTGGGAGTGGTGTACCTAGATTGAAGCGCTGGTAAAACAGCCGGGAAAGGAGAGCATGAGTAACTCGAGGATTATTAGGCTGCACGTACAAGGAGTGTTATGCCAGGATAGGACATTTGGCGTTTGCTAGGGACAACAGCTTAGGATTTCACTGAAAGGACATTCTAACTAGATTTTTTTTAAAGCATCCAGAAACCATGAGTTGTAAACTCTTTGGCTTGGGGCTATAAATATCACAACCCTTCGGCCTTGATTCCATTACAGCTACAGTAAATCTGGGAGAAATGTGGCTTTTCTACCTACCCCAAGGAGTGAACCCGGACCACAAAGAGTTCAACACCCGGCCGTCGCGAAGTCAGCTTTAACCAACTACACTAGCGAGCCGGGCATTCTAACTAGATTATTATTATTATAATAATTATTGCTGTTATTATTGTTGTTGTTGTTTATTAATAATAATTAATAATAATAATAATAATAATTATTATTATTAGAAGAAGACTAATAGTATAGCTAAGAACTTCGTTATCTAATATACAGTAACATGAGAAGTTTGTCCGATCCTAGAGTTAGTTTGATATCTTATCTTTGAACGTGCTAAAGCAACTTTCAGTTGGTGTCTTCCCACGATAGATCAAATACCACCGTTATCTTTCCTTAGATTGTTACAGAGTACGGCTAAACAAACAATGGAAAGCCTCTGTATAATAGATCTGCTGCTTATTTTTATGATATGGTCCTCTTTCAACTTTGTTGGTTTAGAAAAGAAAACATCGAGGTGCTTAGTCCTTTACACATTTTGTAAGGGAGGGGTCCTCAAGGGACTGAAGCTAATTTAAGTGCGTAATAATAATAGAAGTAACAGTAATAAGAATAAGAATGTGCTGAATGGCAAATAAAAAACCCATTATATAATACTATATATGGAACAATGCAAAATGTATCAACACCTAAAAATAGAACTTCTAAACATGGTTAAGGTGGTCGCTTCGTCGTCATCATCATCATCATCATCATCATCATCATCCTCACCATCATCATGTAGGAGTTGCTTTGCAGAAAATTTTTTATAGAAATTTTGGCTCAAAAATTTTTAAATTTTTTCTTTAAGGGCCGGGGGGATAGTCCCCCAGTAAAACGATCAAGCAAACCAGGTTTGGAACAGACTGAAACCAAAAGTGGATGAAAAACCCCTACTTTCCGCGGAGTTACACTGGTGAAACCCAAAAAAGAGAAAGAAGTCCCCCAAAAGGGTTGCCTTTTTTTTTCCCCAAAAGTTCTTTGGGGTCTCCAAAGGTTTTGAGTCCTTCTCCATCAAAAAAAAACTGAACAGCAATGGGATTTCGAGCTGTTTATTTCTACTTGTTATTGTGTAATAAAAATATTTCTTGTTTTTTTGTTTTCTATTTTTTTGTTAAAACTAATTTTCCCTCCAGGGGCTTGAGTTTAAGCCCTTTGCTCCCAATCAAAACTACGGCAACAAGGTGATTAACAAATTTTTTTCAGTTGCCTTTTATAGAAATTAGTTTAGAATTACATACCAGATGCTCAACCAGCACGCAAAGAGCCATTTGCTTACTCTTTAGAAAGACTAAAAAGGCTAGGAAGACCAGTACACACGCCTTTTCAGAGGGCCTCCCCCCTCCCCATTTTTCCTAGATCCTTGGGTCCCCCATTGGGCTTGTTTCCCCTAGGAGTCAGAGTCAAATTGTTATACGGATAAAAAAAGTGGTCTTCAGCACTTTGGGTGGGCAAAAAAACAAAACTTAAACACCAAGATTTTTTTTTGAGTAGTCATACGATTTTTTAAAATTTTAAACTAATT